AGGTATACGAGACATTGTATGCCCAATGTTCGGATGTGTGCCATCACCGGTCTAAGCAGCTTCGTGAAGCACCACGGAGCCGAACTGAGGCCAAATAGCAGGCATGTAAACTGGCATATTTGTCCTCTCCATCGGAAACAAAGAAAGCACCGATATTTTACGTCTACTGGTACTGACAGGTACGAGTCTTTGAGATGCAGACGCGTAAACCAGTCGTTCTTGATGAGAAGGTCCTGCAGAAGGTGGATTACTTCCATCTTGAAATGACTGTATATTACGTAGGAATTCAACTGCCGAAGGTTGATAACTGGTCTGTAGTCGCCTGTTTTCTTCTTGACCAGGAAGATGTTGCTTATGAAGCCTCCTTTTCCTGGTGCATATTGAACTGGGCCTTTTTTGAACAATGTGTGGATCTCTTCGTCCACCAATCGTTCTTGTTCAGCCGACATATGTATCAGAGGTGGGGGGCGGTTTGTACGGGTTGTGAGTAAAAATCTATGACGAAACCTCGTACTGTCTGGAGGACCCAGGCGTCTTTGGTAATTAGCTCCCAGTTCTGTAAGAAAAGGGACAGGCTCCCTGCTACAAAATTGGAAACAGTTTGCTATATAGGTGGATTTACCATTAGAGAAACAGCCGCGTCCTCGACCTTGGAAGCCTCTAGCTCTTCCTGCACCTCTGTAGGATGAGGGCCTTTGTGTTGTAGATGGGTAGAAACTTGGAGCTTGTGGATACGATCTGGAACCTGTCGACCAAAAGCGGCTGGTGGCTCGGTTCCGCTGCCGACCAGCCCTCCCAAAATCACCTCTTCCTGTGGGGTTGTGGAAAACCTGCTTAAAGGACCACTATAGTGCCAGGAAAACATACACTATAGTGCCCTGATGGTGCCCCCACCCTCAGGGTCCCCCTCGAACCCGGCTCTGGAAGGGGGAAAGGGGTTAAACCTTTTTCCAGCGCTGGGCGGAGAGCTCTCCTCCTCCGATCCTCCTTCTCTCCTCCCCGTTGGCTGAATGCGCACGCGCGGCAAGAGCTGCATGCGCATTCAGCCAGTCACATTGGAAAGCATTCATAATGCTTTCCTATGGACGCTGGCGTGCTCTCACTGTGAAAATCACAGTGAGAAGCACGCAAGCGCCTCTAGCGGCTGTCAATGAGACAGCCGCTAGAGGAAATAGGGGGAAGGCTTAACCCATTCATAAACATAGCAGTTTCTCTGAAACTGCTATGTTTATGAAAAAATGGGTTAACCCTAGCTGGACCTGGCACCCAGACCACTTCATTAAGCTGAAGTGGTCTGGGTGCCTAGAGTGGTCCTTTAAGTGAGGTCTGAGCCTTATTCAAGGTGGTGAAGAGGTTTACGTGCTTTTTAAGCTCTGCAATGAAAGCGTCGCCAAATAACAGTCCTTGTGCCTTCGGGCTGAATTCCTTTACCCCTAGATCCAGGAGCTTGTTATCAATGCGGATCAGTGCAGACTTGCATCTTTCGGTTGAGTTGAGAGCCTTGACTGAGTGCTAAGTCCGCGAAATAGAGCATCTTAGCGATGGGGCAGAGCAAATCTAGCCCTTTGTCTTGTGCTGCCTTCATGCCTTTCTCCACGCCCTTCCTAGGATCTCACCCCGAACGCGACATAAAGACCACCACTGTGTTGTCAAACTCGGGTGTAAATGCTACTTAGTCAGGTAGCAGAGGTCTGGGGCATTCGGCCTTGAGGCGTGCCCGCACCTCTTTTTCCAGAGGTTTACGCAGCCAATAATGCACGAACCATGTAAGATGGTCCGGGAGGCTCCACTCGTGGGTGCTGGATGTTATGGGGGTCAAAGAGTGGGTTCCCCTGATTGTCCATGAACGCTCTCTCCTTGGTCGTTCCGGTGTTGGTGCTACTGGGGCTCCTCCTGTCTCGGTCGTCGTCGCCAAGCATGGTCTCCCTGACGTATCTCAAGGAGGTGTGGGATAGGTCTTGCCACTCTTCTTCTTCCGAATGTGAACCGTCCTTGTGCCATTCGTCTACCACGTGCAAGGTACATGGCGCGTCATAATCTTCCTCATCGGAGGATTGTAATGGACGGGTTTGGGTTGTCGTTGTTCCGTGCACTTGATCCATTTAACAGATATCTTGCCTTTGGTTATAGTGGAAGGGGGACTAGAGTCCTTTCGTTGTCCCTTTGTTTTGGATACTTCGGATCCGGAGGCTTCCATGAGTTCCAAGGGGCTTGTGTCGCCGTGGCTTTGGGTAGAGCTTTTTCTACTGAGGCCGCTACTGCAGCATTTATCATTGCCTGGAAGTCTTGGCTGGTTTGAGTGTCTTCCATGACTCAATGTATTCACGTCCTGTAGGGCGATAAGAGAAGTCAGTGGGATAGTGGTGAAGGGTCAATACACAGGGTGCCAGACTCCTGGTACAACTGGGGGTTGCCCAGAATAGTGAATTGGTAATAAATAGAGACTTGGAGTGTATGGCTCTGGTGCCCTTAAAGGGGCCACCTGTACTGAGCAATCTGGTATGTGTTGCAAGTGGTGAGATTGGGTCCACCACAGTTGTACACCAGAGCTGTATGCACAGAAATGTTAGTAAACAGTGGCAATACTTCTGTTAGAGGTGTAAGCCCATGTGCATGTGATTGGGGTTCACCCCAGGTGGTGTGCCGTGGTAACCCAGAGGACACCCACTTTATATTTTAATGGTCTGTGATTGACCTAGCATGCCTGTCTGGGGGTTCACCCTAGGTGGTGTGCCATGAAAAAAATACCCAGAGGACACCCACATTAATTTGTACATTTAGGTACAGTAATATAATATGACCCTGTGCAGGGTACAACAGTGCACTCAGTCTCCTTTAATTATTGCATGCTTAACACCTCCACCATGGTATTGAAAAAAACGTGAGTATACATGAGATGTCAGTGCAGAGTAATAGTCCAGTCTAGCCAGATGGGGCTGTCTGAGCCATGTGGCATGTCCTAACTAAATAATCCTCTAAAGTTTCATCCTAACACCTGAGAAAAACTCTGATAGGGGCTCTGATACTGAAGAACGTGCCAATCAGGTGAATCCCGATCCACAGAGTGAGCAGGGAAGACAGCCATCATGTATCTCGCGAGCCGCAAGATCCAAGATGGCCGCCGCTCGCGCCTGAAGGTGCTCAAATGACTCGCGGTCGCGGGTCCGTAGCGCGGAGAGACACACAAATACCGACCCGGCCTCCCTCCACCCATCCCCACACAGTCCCCGCAGTTATATCAGGTGGGTCTGCGCAGTGCACGCGGCACGGGCAACTGTGACGTCCGCGGACCGCAACAGAATCAATCAAATATCAAGAGGCTGTGTAAAGGAAAAAACAAGTATAGGAGTGAAGGGGACAGGGTATAAGAGGGCCAGGTTGAAATAGATTTAAAATAAAGACAAAACAATAATCATTTAACAATGTAAAAGCTAGGTTATAGCAGAGAGGCAAAATAACCTTTGTAGACTGGAGCAGCAAAGAAAAAGGAAGTGATGTCATAGACAGGGCCTTTTATGGGCATCATAACTTTTTCTGATCGGTTGTTGTGATTCTATGCTGCTGGAGTTTTCAGTAAAGAAAGTTATGCAAATATGAAGCCTCCTATCATGTGGTAAAATTCACAAACATGTTCTACTTGTCTATTGCATACACAATTAGAAAACAAAACACATTCATGAAGAATAAGAACTCCAAATATAACTCCCAAAACAGATAAATTCCCTCATAATTATATATTTTTTTGTATTATACATTTTTATTGACAAACCACAGTTTTGAATGTGGACATGCTTAATTAAGGAATGCAACAGGTTTATTTTTTTGACATCTCATATGCATGTAGACATTATAATTCTAACTATCAACATCAGTATAATAGTAAGTTCTAAAGGAACACTCCAAACATCTAAAGCATATTAACTTGCTGAGATGCTTAATGTGTGAAAGTGTGCCTTGTTTTTCATTTTACAAAAGGGCAGATTCTAATAGAAACGGGTACTTTCAGAAATTAATTACTTCATAGTTGTTTAACTCACTTGTCTTGCTTGTCATGAACAGCGCTGGGAAGTCTGTGATTGTGTGGAGAGAGGGGGGCGACAAGCTTTGTTTTTAGATATTCCACCAATGAAAAAATGCAAAATGAAATGCATGCATAATAGTTAAATATATGAGGCTTTCAGTGGGGGCATATCTACTAAATAATATTTTTTTAATTTGTGTAGTGATGTTTCATTCAAGGTTATTAAAGACCATCTGTAGTTTACTTTGTTTAAAAGAAAAGAAAACTATTGTACTGTATTGTAAAAGTGTTTTAAAAGCATGTTGGCACTTTATTTAAATTATTTAGTTAACGTTATTTAGTATAAGAAATGCTGATCTTTTAGTTGAAGAAGGCTCTGTTCTTCCTCTCTTGCACCAAAATGTTAAATAATAAAGATAAACAGTGTTGCTTACCAATGTAGTAATTGTACACCAATAAACATGATAAATCTGCTGATCACAGATCCAACCTCTGGGTATCAGTCAAAGCTTAATTAGAAAGGAATAATAGTTCATATTAGCACAAGATATCAAAGTACAGGATTAACAATGCTCTCGCTACTGCTCTATCTTCCTAAGAAATGCTATAAACCATATCTCCACCCACACTACCCTGTTCCTGCAGCAGATGTCTACATGTGCTTGTTATTAGTTTATTTTATCCAGATTCCATATCCCAATAGTCACTATTACAGTTAATTAAGAAACATTGGCTAGAATTGTATCCATTTCTGAAATATGTAATTAGGCTTTTGGGGGAATTCGTATTGAAAGGTGGATTATGATTCATTTATTTTTGAAGTCGTAATTTAAAGCACATTTTGGGGCTTTTTGATGAACTGACTAAGCAGTGAAATATGATAAAGTTTGGATTTATGAAGTATTACCAAATGTATAGGTGTAAGTTACAAACTAACTTAAGGCTAAAAGTCCAGCTCATTTGGCCCAATTGAAATGTCCTCTGGCAGATATGCACAATCTGGTCATTCTGTTTTGGAACATTAAATATTCCAGCAACTATGATGGACAAATAATCATGCAACAGCATAATGTTTCTCGAGTATTTTTGCTTGCAACTGGTTGAGGTTGAGTGTGTGAGTCCAACTGCAAAAATCAAGTCATATCAGTAATTAATATATCCAATGGTAGAAACACAGGTTATACCCAACCTTACTGACTACACTTTGATATTTACTTTAAGGTTCAGCAGTAGGTCATACCTTTTGAAAAGTGTGAAAGATAAAATATTTCATGGATAAGATATTTTATAATTAAAACGAGTATGTAAATCACCTAAAATTATCCACATCAATATAATGGCTAAACTACAAGCAAGATCCTAAGGTCACATGATAAGAAACTCAAAGTAACAAAGAACATATCATGGTACTATTATACTTTTTATATTCACATCCAAAAATGCATTTCAAAACTTGTTTGAGGAAGGCCTACTTCACCTCTTGTGTCTGTCAACATTATATGTGTCTGTCAATTACTTATTGTTAAATATCTTCACTATAAAAATTAAAGCAGTGTAAATTGTTGGTGCTATATAAATGCTAATAATAATAATTAGAAATATGCATTAGTTATATGTGTTCACTTGATCTGCAAACCAAATGGAGTGAAAATGTACCTATCAGTGTACTGGATAATATAATGAATCACCCAAATCATTTTCCCCAAATATTTTTCCACCCAAACAAAAAACTTTTTCGGACGAAGTGATTCCCTCGAACTCCTAAAATGTTTCCACTGTTTAAAAATCCACTATTTACTATTTAATTGGATATTTCAGTGACTGGACATTTCAATAAATCTGCTGAATTTCATCTTAATTTAGTTAATTTTGTTGTCCTAAATTTTGCAAGCTGCTTCTCGAATCATCACAACTAGCTAATGAAAAACGTTTTGTTTCTTTGCATGTTTCCTAATCCAGAAATGTTCTGTTATGTAAAAATCATTCTTTTTTTCTATTAACCTACTTATTGCTTACACTGTAAGTAGTGTAGGTGTTGTTTATGATACTGGATTACAATACATAGTTTGTTTTTTTTGTGCAATTCTTTCGATAACAAAAGTCTTAAAAAACTTTAGTGTTTAATCATTCATTTCATAAACTCTTCATGAAAACTATGCACAATATTTGAAATTATTTAGCGAGAAAAAAGTCTATCTACTATTTTCTGTGTATCTGAATCCCACTCACGGATCTACGCTATACTCTTACTTCATTACATAACTCATCAGTGGTAATATATATACATAATTGTATACATTTGTTAAGTACAATATTTTACAGATCAATACAAAACAACAAATCAGTCAATTCATTGTAACATAAAATAGGCAATATTTTGTAGATTACTTAATGTTTTGAGCAGTTCATCCTTAGTATGACTCTGGAGTTATTCAATAAACTTGAGGGGGCTTTGATATTTTGGCGACGATAAAAAAAAATAAAAAAAATGTCTGTCTCTGTTTTTCTGACTCAGCTTTTTGGCCTATAATTTGCATTTCCCTTGTCAGTTTTCAATAATTCTGGGTTTAGTGAATAAGTCTGTTTATGTTTTCTGCCTGATTGTATATTCAGATCTTTCTTTGTTCAAATATTTCCATCATCATTTATCTTGTGTACAGAACACTATGTAGTTGTTCGCATCTGCAGCACTATTTTTTTAACCCTAACAACTGTAGCCAATTTTACAGGAATGGAGAATCTATTGCATCTGCTTCTACACTAAGACCTCCCAATATGAACTGGATAATCTATATGAAATGGAAGTTGTTGCCAGAGGCTTTGGCTTTCAGAAGAGGGGGAAGGGAAGGAATAGTCTGCATTTGGAAACTGCCAAGCAAAATATTTTCATTCATGAGTTCACCCAGCCTAAACATGTACCTAATCCCCCTTGATACTGACAGTTCAGAGAAGGATAACACTGGTTCGACAGACAAAGTGATCAGTTCAAAGGCAAAATGGACATAGGGATTATTAGCATTAACACTTATCATGGACTGACCATCAGGTTTGAAATAAAATAACAATTGCAGCTCCTTCAGCAGTTCAAAAGGTATTCTCTGAGATTTGGATATGAAAGATTAAAACAAAGACTTTGTAGTTTGCCTCATTATGCAGAATGTTATGTTTTACTGTAGAACAGTTATATGAGCACATGGGCTTGAAATAACAGGGCAAATTAGATTACAATCAAATCCAGATATGTACCTTTATCTCAAGCCTTTTCATTTTTTTGATAATTTGTTGCAGGTTATGCAGTTTACATATGTTCCATCATGAGTTTCACCTGTGAAATAATTCTTGATAAAAAGAATTCTGAAAATATAACTATATGAAAACGTCTATATGTTAATCAACATATATTTGATTACATTATTTACTAGTAAACTAGATTATAATTGTAGTTAATGTTAATGGTGCATATGAATAAAATACCTATATGAAGGTTTTTTAACTTAGCTGTTGAGTGTATGAAGTTATGGCGGGATTATGTAAAGCCAATGTAGATCTATTTCTTCATGTAATTGAGTATTGCCACCAAATCTATGTTTTTATTTGGGATTCTGGGGAAATTCACACACTAAAAAGATTGAAAACTCAAATTTAAATTGCAATGCATTAAGCTCAATATTCTTGATAGAGATTTATGACACTGGAAATGTGATGAATAATGCTCATTATAGGAGTAGCGGGAGGGAATTCTATGGGTCTGCATACCAGGCCATAATACCAATCATCTGTTCCAAAGCTGGTCTTAAAATCAGGTAAATACAACCTCAGATGTACAACAACACATGACATGACACAACATTTATTTAAGAAAAATAAAGACAAAATGGAGAAACTATGTGTGAAAAACTATGCACACCTCATGCATTTTAATAACTTGTAGAACTACCTTTAGCAACAATAACGTGAAGTGATCATTTTCTGTATTACTTTATCAACCTCTCACATTGTTGTGGAGGTATTTTGGCCTACTCTTCTTTAAAATTTTGCTTCAGTTCATTGAGGTTTGCCGACATGTGTTCATGCACAGCTCTCCTAATGTCCAACCACAGCATTTCAGAAAGGTTGAGGTCTGGACTTTGACTTGATTATTTTCTTTTTCAGCCATTCTGTTGTAGATTTGCTGGTGTGCTTGTGGTCATTGTCCTGTTGCATGACCAAATTTTAGCAAAGCTTTAGCTGTCAGATGGCCTCACATTTAACGCTAGAATACTTTTTTTTTATACAGAGGAGTTCATAGTCTTATGGTTTGTTCAGATGCAAGTTTGCAAACCTAAGCCATGTTACCATGTTCTTTCTCCTGTCAACCATTCCAAACAATCCAAACATGTTCATTGTTTTTCTAATTGTACTGTCATGAACTTTAACATTTAACGTGCTAACTGAGGCAAGTTGAATGTTAAATGTTTAATGTAGAGACTGAGATGTAACCCTTGGGTTTTTTGCATTTTTTTATGAGCATTGCATAGTCTGATCTTAGGGTGAATTTGCTGGGATGTCCACTCCTCGGAAGATTGTCAACTGTCTTGAATGTTGTCCACTTTTGAATAATCTTTCTCACTGTAGAATAATGGACTTTAAGTTGTTTTGAAATGGCCTTATAAACATTTACAGTTTGATGGGCAGCAACAATTGCTTTTGAAAGATCATTGCTGATGTCTTTCCTCTTTGGTATTGTGTTAACAGACACATTAATGCTCCAGACCAGCACACTGCTAAAACAATTGGCTTTTATAGAGGTGGTAAACTTTGCAGAAGATCAAATAATCAAGGGCATTTGATTAGTAGCACCTGTCTGTTACTTAGCCTTGTAATTCCTATGGAAACAGTAAGTGTGCACGTTTTTCACACATGGCTTCTCCATTTTGGATTTATTTTTGTTAAATCATGATACGGTGTAATATGTCACTTGTTGTTGTTCATCTGAGGTTGTATTTACCTAATGTTAAGACCTGCTAAGGAACAGATGATTGGTTTACTTTTTTTTTCCATGACTGTATGTAAACCAAATCTCTTTTCTTCCAGTCTAAATTTGTGACCTTGTGGCCTATATATAATACTGTTTATAAATAAATTTGCTCCAATCTGTTTAACAATTTTGTAGCCCACCTACTTTTTCTAGAGCCATGATGTCCTTCTTTACAACAGGTGCCCAAAATTGCACAGCATATTCAAGTTGTGATCTTACTAGTGATTTATAAAGAAGCAAAATTATATTTTCGTCTCAAGAATTAATGTTTGTATGTATTGCTAAAACTATTGGCTTTTATAGAGGTGGTCACCCTTGCTGACGATCAATTAATCAAGGGCATTTGATTAGCAGAACCTGTCTGTTACCTTTTAATTCCTATGGAAACAGTAAGTGGCCTTAGCAACTGCAAATTGGCATTGGATATTGTTGCCTAGTTTGTTGTCTCTAACAATTCCCAAATCCTTCTAATGTACTCCGAATTCACTACCATTTAGGGTGTAAGTTGCTTGTGCATTTTTTACCCTGAAGTGCATAACTTTGCATTTTTCTACATTAAATGTCATCTGCCATTTGAGTGCCCAGTGCCCCAATCTATCTAAATCCCTCGGCAGCAAAGCAATATCCTGTTCACATTGTATTACTTAACAGTTTTTACATACCATGAAAAGCATAGATGCAAAAGAGTGGGCACATTTCATAATTTAAATTGTGAAAACACACTCATTTCATAACTCATGATAAATGTCACTTTCCTCACATCACAGCTTCTGAGATCCAGAAAAGGGTGAGATAATTTGTAGATAGACATTATTCATCACTGCATTTTATAGTAATTAAATCTAGTCTAGTTAAAAACAAAGCACTAAAAAGAACTTCCATATGGAGCCATGTCATTGATGATACTTTTTCATTCATTTCTGACTGAGCAATAAACATTTTTATATATTGAAGTTTGAAATATGAACTTTTTCATGCCCTGCCCTGTTTCTCCGCTAATTAACAACTGCCTTTCATCTAAAAGCTTTTCTAAACTCTTTTTCTTTCCATTTTACACCACTCCCCAAACTTTCTCTTCTATCAACTTTATGTCGCTCTTTATTGTTTTCTTTTTAATCTTGTGTTCTACATTTTCCTCATGGGCAAGCTGAGGCGGCTTCAAATATT